ATTATATTATATTATATTATAATTATATTATATTATACTGTATTACATTTTGATATATCATATTTGTTGTCATTTATATTGCAGGTGAACGGCTCGTGTCAAGCGGCACTAGTAGACGTGCTATCGATCGGTTTCCAAGTTCGGCATGGTCAGCACTTGCAAGTCCTTAGTTGTGATCCACCCTGAGGTGAAAGACTCAGAATGATCACCTATGATGATATACAAGCGCGTTGTGATCCACCCTGAGGTGAAAGACTCAGAATGACCACCTATGGTGATATACAAGCATATTCTTCCGACAAGTAGAAGAACACAGGGGAATGAACGTTACTCACTTTGTAGAATTCGGTGGATTACGTACACCATATGTTGATGGAGTAGCGCTTGGCTGAATGGTAATGCTAGGGTTATGTATTTGTTAGGACGAACACTCCTCGTGAGGTTGCTGACACATCTCGGATAACCCTCGGCCGGTTTAGTCCCTGTTGGGGCCAGCCGCGGTCAGCTGCGGTCCCCGAGTTTCTGTCGCCAAGCATACTCATTTGCCCGCCGGTTGCCGTGACCTCACCGCGAAACTACAAGCCTAGGAGTCACGGGTTCGAGGCTTCGTGAGGATCACAATGCCAATGATTCTCAGTGAGAATGGAACCACAGCGTATGTGTTTTTGGCTTTTCAGTAGTGACTGGCTTAACTCACGGAGTCAAATCCCCATTGAAAGTTCTCAAATCTGCTCAAGCTGTCAACAGTTGCTGATGTGTACTCGTGAGGAATGAACTGGGCATTTTGTGGGATGCGTCGCTGTTAACATCAAACAGGCAGTCCGGGAGCAAAGACAAACAAGGTTTGATTTCGATACATACACTCATTTGCAAATAAATTCGGTTTTTACGAGAGACTCAACTTAATCTCTCGTTTATGCTATTCTACAACTGAATGGGCTGCACACAGGCCGCTTCATCATTTAGTTGGCACGATATTCGAGATACCCCAGTATATTTTCATAAAGGAAACTATCCACAAGGTTGCTGAAAACTTTTCGACAGCCCACGACCGGTTTCGCCCTTCTTGGGGCTCAGTCTTCCATGAAAACTAAATGGATTTGCTAATGAGTGTATTTCTCGAAAACAGTCCAATTTGGGTTCAAGTAGAACATAAGGTTGACGGAAATCCGGGGACTACGCCTACGTAATGAGCCCCAAGAAGGGCAAAACCAGTCGTGGGTGGTCGACAAATTTCCAGTAACCTTATGAGTAATGAATGACGAATATGCTAGGTACGTTATCCCTGAAAAAGCCGGCATTAATATCGAAGAAGCTGTCGACCGGTTTGTTGTTCAATCACCATTACAATGGATTTTCTCATCGATGCGACGGACTGCGGGGACAGTGACCAAACCATACAGTTTTGAATGTGTTTTTATTAACTTGTTTGTACGATGCAGTGTGCTTTTTTTTGAATAGCATACTTACAGAAGGGACAGAAATTACCGCATATAGTGAACTGCATTATTCCGCGTCACCTGGACAGTCGACAGCACGGAGGCAGACGAAGTCAGACAGGCAGACCACAGAATCGAACTGCCCACCCCTTGGTGGTCTTTTAATGCTGGGTTAAAGATGCCTACGTGAGGTGTGTCAGACTGACGTTACTGTGAAGTTTAACTACTGCGAACCATTGCTTAGGCTCTTTGGACAGAATCCGGTCAAATGAGTGGCAAGAAACTAAATTTGAATATTGCAAGCCAGGTACAGCTGGTAAGCACCACTACGACAAAAATCAATAATTCAAACGATGACTGCACATGGGCTGCACGTGACATATGCACATCTCCTATATCGAAAGGTTGTTCCAGTTCACGAGCTTTACTTTTCATGCCAGCAAAATAAAAGTAATTCCTTTGAGCAGTTTGTAGGGTAGGGGATATGGATATATTCTGAGTACTAGTGCGGTTGCTGTCATTTACATAGCATGCACCTCACTGAGATTTCCTTGATGAAAGCGATTGAATGAACGTTCATCCACACAACACGACATCTTTTGGTCGCTTACTAGGAGAAGAAAGAAAACTTCTGTTAACTCTGTGAGGCAATGCTGAGCGGAATTGCTAAATCAGCTGGCATCCTGACTATCCTGCTTGCTACGAGTTCGTCCGGGGTTGGAACACACGAAAATGTTCGGGCCGCGTGGCTCAGTAGAATAGATTTAAACCACATACCCAAGAGCCTCGATAACTGTGAAGCCACAACTGGAATGAATAAACGTTCAGCAATACAGATGTGTGATTTACATAGTCTGCAATGCTTTTGGTTGCAAAGTGATAAGTTCAACTTAGGCCACAATCGATGATCTCGTAGGATTGAGGATCCCATTTCTAGGGCAAGCACACCTTGTGAGTTTCAGAGGACTAGTAAATTCAAGGATTATTCCCACTAGGGGACCATTCGAGACACTTTGTTCCTCGGTAGAATAACAGAAGAATGTTCTCTAACGTGAAACCCTGTGGATTCGTAGTCTCTGATACCCGGAGATTGAAATCTGATTTTTTTTGGTAAATGGAGAAATCTGGGTTAACTTTTTTCCAGCCACGGCTTTTTGTCGCTTTGTAAAGTAGAACATGAGGTTGACGGAAACTCGGGGACTGCGCCTACCTGATGAGCCCCAAGAAGGGCGAAACCAGTCGTGAGCTGTCGAAGAGTTTTCAGCAACCTTATGAGTAGTTTCCTTTATGAAGAGAAATGATGTTTCCACGAAGCATCCAGTTGACGACGTTCTTGGTTCTTTCTCACACGGTTATTACCACAGGACAGTCTGGCAGACGGAAACAAAGACATCAGTGATGTGGGCCACCAGCCAGAAAGTGTATTTTCAGTCGCTCATGAAACATTCCAAAATTATGGCCGTTTAAATGAAAGTTTACCGTCACATAAGATATAGTGATGAATTATTGACGATTTTTTGGCCATGCCGGCTTTCATAAACCGGGTTGATTATCGCTCATTCCCGTCCGGAATCTAGAAGAATAAAACAGTCTGAAAGCAAAACATCAAACCATTTCAAATCAACAAGACGACAGAGCCCAACTGGCGGTAGTAACAGAGGTGTCCAACGGATTTCTGAAACCTCCAGGACGTAAACAAGAGTTGAAGGACATGCATAAAGCGAAAACAACCTGGCGAAAAACCGAGTTGTGCACAATGAGGATGGGGCAAGGAAATCGATGAAGAATTCATTTGGAAACCATAAGAGTAGGTCCATATGCGGCTGAAAGAGACCATTCGATACCGCTGACGGGCAAAAAGGCAAAACCAAAAACATCCTTCGTATTCAGTAAGAAATAGACAAGTGATAGTAAAAATAACGCGTCACGTGCGCTGAAAAACGTTCATAGATACCTTGCTGGTGTTTTGTTTGTGCCAATCACTTAAGAGACATTTTCTCCAGTTTCCAGACAGACCTCTCACATACAGCACTTAGAGGTTGTTTTAGTCCCAAAAAGATACAATTGCAGTAAAGGGTGACGCAAAAGTAATCGTGAATTACTGTTGACTATTTTGACATAAAATCAGATACGAAGTCCAAAAAAATTAAATTTCGTAGACGGAAGAGGTGAACAGAACCGCCAAAGTGAAGGCGAATCCCACTGATATCCTTAAATGACCAGAAAAGTAAAGCAATAAGCAGAAAGACTACGGGTGTACGGGGATACTACTGATGGGGAGACATGCGAGTAGTAGGTTTTGTTCTTGTAAATGCGTTTCGTGTCTCTTGAAAAGGGAGATCTGTTGCGAAATTTGTGGAGTCGCTTTGTAACATTTGCTTGGATTGAGCAGCAGTCAATGAATATCCAGGAAAGTTCAGGAAGATGCGTTCAAGAGAAGATGGATGCCCAGTTTTTGTAAACAAGATGCATATGAGGACTTTGCTTCCCTGTCCAATAGTCTGTAACTGGTCAGTTGGCACTTTCCAATGAATAACTCCGCAGCAAAGGCTTTCTTCCTTTCACGGGTATCTTATAATCCAGCTGTTTGCATTCCTGGGAGTATATAAACATGGCAGGATATGAAACATTCCCCAAACCAAGCATCATCCTTATGGTCGGCGTCACCATTCTTGCGTACGATAACCTTTTCAGCCTGAAAGTTTCAAATGTGAGACAAAATATTGTCTTATCCTGTCCAACAGTTTACCAGTCACGTAGAGCATGAATTGCTCATCTCGCTCAACCAGCAATCAGAGAATTGGGTTCACCATTAAAAAAAACAATACACAGTTTACGAGAAATACACTCATTTGCAAAACAATTTGGTTTTCACGAGAGACTCAACTGAATCTCTCGTTTACGATATTCTACCAGATTGATTTGAAAATGAGTGTATTTCTTGAAAACGGTCCAATTTGGGTCCAATCAGAACATAAGGTTGACGGAAACTTGGGGACTGGGCTACTCTTACCTGATGAGCCCCAAGAAGGGCGAAACAGATCTTGGGATGTCGAAGATTTTTCAGCAACCTTTATGAAAAAAGTGCGCAGTTTAATTTCACTGGTTTTATTCAGTGTGAATACAATGCAGTCGCTACGATTCTCCGTCGGATTCGTGTTTGTGAGGCACGAACTGGACATATCTACAGTTATTGACTTCAAATAAACCATCGACGATCAACTCAAAGAAATCAAGACGACATATTGGTTCGTTCGATTTTTCGAAAGAACCTACGCCACATTTGTTTTCTCGAACAAGAGGAAAACCGATGGTATTAAGAACAAAAAATTCACTGAAAGTCTACACGGACTGGCCAATAGATGATTTTTATAGATTCTATAGCAGCAAGTGCAAGCATCGAATAAAGAAAGAAGGATTTGTTCACATGATTCTGTAGAAGCAAGCGTAACTGTGGAAAAGCTCAAGAGAACGACTCCCATCCCTTAGGAATCGTTATAAAATTAGCTTCATTTGAACAGTTACAGTGCCAAAAAACTGCATTACATTACATTAGATTATTCAGAAAAATCGCTTAGTAATGTGCAGTCACAGTTTTGATTTTATCGTTCAAACCAATAATCTGTATGAATCTCAAGGACAAGATGTATGTCCTCAACCGTAGCTTATTTGAATGCGCGTGTCAATAACGTGGCTAGAAAATCGGAGAGATTTATCCGAAATCTCTCCTAATGGGGAATAAGAAGCCAAGCAACCGCGCAGTCCTAAACCACCACTTCAGACCTGCATACACATCTATTGCTATTGATCTGTTTTCAAAATCTGATCGATAATAGTCGAGCCAGTTATGCTAGATGTGGTGGGATCGATCGCTACTGGACTACTGAGTCCAACTCTGTGCGCGCAGCAACCCCCGACTCATTCAGT